GCACACAAACCATCGCACCACGCTAAGATCCGGTCACTTCGCGATTGATTTTGATGAATATTTGTCGCGGCTAGACGTAGGCAGACCGCCACCACACTTCCCGGAAAACACAAGCTTGCCGTTTCGTCACCCTACTACTCTCTACTTATGAGTATTTGCCTCGGTAGCTTATGTGCCACCTCGATTGGTGGCGGCTTGCAATGAAAGTCGTTGCTCTAGTGACCAGCCCTATTCTCTGCACCTTCCTAACGCATGACAGTGGAGGATGAGTCACGCTATATCGCAGTTAGATATCAGTCATAGTTGTCCGCTGCCGTCACCCATGGCACAGTGGCATAAGTCGCTGGATAGCAAGAGTAAGTTTGTATGGTCGAATCCAGCAGGATTCGATGGGTGCGCGCTACTAACCAATCCCAATAGGACGAAACGGCTGCCTAGCGCTTTCCTGGCTGTACTGTGGCTGTCTGTCCGGGTCCAGCTGTGACAGCTTTCACCGAAATCCAATAAATCTCCTTGCTATTCACTAACTCTTTGACCCTATCCATTCCGATATGACAGGGTAGTTATCGCATGACTTCACTTCCCAGCGCGGATAGACTCATTTATCCTCTGAGGTAGTGACATTTTAATGCGATCCGCCTATTATACACACCAGCCATCATCGTGAGCGGTGTGTCTTCTAAAAGTTTTGCAGGCAACAGTTTTTCATAGCATGTTCGAATGCCATTCGCAACGTATATGTATTCTCAAGGTACCTCGTAAGCTGCAGGTCAGTTAGTTTGTCAGCTGCACAGCCGTGTACTATTTTAACACACACTCACCTTTGAGAGTCCTGTTTCCCAGGCAATGCGGTCTTTCACTTGATTCCGTTGGGTATTACGATTAGAGAGATTATAGCATTACATTACTTGCTTGCACACTATGCTGTAAAGGCATCTGCATTACACCGTACCGATGCTTTGCTGCCATGCAACCACGAACAGCCGCGCGTGGGCTGAGTATACTGCGAGGGTCGCCCGGTCCCCTGCGGAAGCTCAAACCCCGTGACCTCCAGATTACAAGTCTGGTGTGTGATCCTTTCTGTCACCGGCTGGCTACTGATGCATTTTGATGACGTTCACTCCATTGGCTCAAATTACACTACAGGTTGGATTTTTACCAGGAGTTGGTCTTTCTGTACAGGCCCGTTCGCGCCTTCGTTAACAGCAGAAATCAAATTCCTTTCAATCCAAGTCGGTTGCGGGAACTTTCCAGCGTGTGACTGACTGTGCGGTCCAGCAGGCTACACAGCATTGTATGTGTTGTGTATAGTCCTTCAATCACAGAGGGGTTTTGATCAAACTCTCCTGACAACAAATGACTATATTTACAACGTTCATCCGGTTGTGACAATTCTTTGTTAGCGCGGTTTGCAATTAGTACTTCCTTCTGTTCATTCTTTCTCCACGAGCCAATGTTCATTCGTCTGGTGCCGTTTGGCTTCTGCTTCCGTGCTAATCAATTGTGTCCTTTAACTTCTCCGCGGATCACTACACACGACGGTTTAACGTTATACGATCGATGTTACTTCCTGATTTGGGATCTTCCTACTAGCACCCAGTGGCTCTTCTCCCTGTGCTTGCGAAGGTGATGAAAGCGGTCGTCGCTGAGGCTCTAATGGGCTATCTGAAAAAATGCGACATCTTGGCACCGGAGCAGCATGTTCCGTCAACACCGGTCATGCACCACCAACCTATTGATTGCACGAGATAGTTGGACGGAAGTAACGGATGACGGGGTCGTAGTTGACGTCATCTAACTGGACTTTTCCAAAGCTTTCGACCGCCTGGATCACCGCATTCTACTTCACCGGCTATAGAGCTATGGAATCGGAGATCATGTACTTGGTTGGATTGACAACTTTCTTCACCAAGGGAAGTTTAAAGTACGCGTTAGAGGATCACTATCTAACCCGATTGAAGTGGAATGTGGTGTCACAATCCTCAGTGCTGGGATCGCGCTTATTTCTGGTGTTTATCAACGACCTGGCAAGAGTTTTCTCCTCAAATTTCTGCTTTTCACCGATGTCAAGATATGGCGGACGATTAGTAAAAATGGAGACCACGATCTACTCCAACTTGACCTAGATAGCATTTATGAATGGTCAAAGAGGAACCTGCTTCAGTTGAACATAGCTAAGTGCAAGGTGATCCATCTGCGTCACCAGCTGATGAGCGCTTACAAGCTTGGAGACTACACCTTGAGGAAGATCTCTCAGGAGCGTGACCTGGGTATACTGGTACAGGAAGATCTCGAGTGTTCAAAAAAAGCAGAGAAGGCGACGAAAACCGGCAATCAACATTTCGGCCTGCTTTGCAGAGCCTTCGGTCGGTTTGAACCCTCAATCTTTCCCCAAATGCTTAACGCTGACGTGCGATTGCACGTGGAATATGCTATCCAGGCCTGGCAGTCGTGGCGGAGACAGGATCTCGTTGCTCTCGAGACTCTTCAACGAAGGGCAACCAAGAACGTCAGGGGCTTCTTTCATCTGCCCTATATCAGCTTAGACTGAAATCTCTAAGAATGTACTTCAGTCGATATCGGCTTTTGCGAGGGGATCTCATAATGCTTTACCAGATTCTGAAGAACACAAACCACATTTGCCGTCCGCTGCTGGAATTTAACCACAACACTAACCTAAGAGGTCATCCTCTGAAACTGAAAACACAGTATATATATATATATATATATATATATATATTCAAAAGTCTACGAATAGACATAATGCCATCAGAAACCATGGGATTCAAACGAAGGTACAGAAATAGTAAAATAAAACACAACACAACAATGTCCATCGTTTCCTCAGAGGGCAACATACTACCCGGTTGCCCAAGCCGAAGTAGGGTGTTAACTTAGGGGACACCACCCCGAGCCTTTGGCTGAATAGCCTGTCCGCAAGGCAGCGAAGCGAAATCAGGGAATCGCGCCCATTGGGAGCCGGTGACTGATTGCTCAGTTCATACGCCTTTCGTTTGTTCCTTTGTCAAACAGGGACCCAATGCTTCCCAGAAGTACAGCATGATGTTGCTGGAATACAATGCTTCGCCAGAATGAAACAAGGGGCAGTGACTTTATTTAGTGGCGAGTCACGTCCGCCACGTGGCTTATTATAGGGAGAACGCCTGCCAGGCGAAAACTCACCACGTCCTGAAACACTGCCGCCGAACCATTTGCTGGAACGGGAAAATCCCGAACCACCCAGCTGGCACCACGAGGTTGTTCGGCGAGCCAGCCGAAAATACAGTATACTTGGCTTGAATGCCGTAGAAATTTCTTTTCCCTCTGCGTATGCCAATCTTGGATCGCCATCACTAATTATGTCGTCTCTCCTTCCAATCTGGCGATATTTAAAAATCGAGTTGACGATATGTTGTCTCATTTGCCTTTCATTTTATGACTTGTTAGCCAGGGGCTACAAAACTCAACCAAACGGTGTCTTACCAAACTCCTAACCAATGGGTTTATGGATTTATACTTTTAATACGCGAACATCGCTATTCTACATAGGTCTATAGTGAGTCCATCAAAATGCTTTTCATTTTATCATGCAATTTACTTTTCGCAATAATTTCCATCCCACGGGACTTGTTAAGCATTGCTTTTTTTACCGTACTACACCATAGTTCCATTGTTGTTCGTAAGATTTCAGCTGGAGCCTGGCAATCTTGCAATTTGAAGTACTCCAAGCTGCCGATTTGGTTTTGTGTGCGCTACCTGTGTCACGTTTACACTAGTCGGAACACAGCCGCATAGAACGTATCGTAGAAATTGCTTTACTTTGTCTCGTTTTGTTGTCTGCATAACAACCAAGTTAGTCGTGTACAGGGCCGTGGCTTCTCAAAGACCACTTACCAACCGCTTGCGGTTCGTGCAATCGCGTCTCCCGAACCGTATTTAAATATCGCCATAAACGTCGCGTATTTGGTGCAGGAACAGCGAGTGAACCGCTCAGCACCATTATATCACGCACCAGGCTCCGATGGCTGGGCCACGTGTTGCGCATGCCAGCACACCGACTCCCGCGACGTGCATTGTTTGCGCGTTGTGGGTGCGTTTGGAAGAGGAGGAGGGGAGGCCAAGTGATGACTTGATCGAGAGAAATGAAAACCCTCACTTCGAAGTTGGGGTCGGTTGGTGCATCCCGACTGCCTGGATGGGGTCCTAAGGACGGTGAACACGTTTGGTTTGACACACTTGCTGATATGGCTTGGAGCCGACCCCAATAGCGTTTGTGTTGTGAGTTCTTTTGTCCACCCCCCTCCTGTTTAGCATCCCCATCCAATCACGATCTCACTTGTTAGGCGTAATATGACTCTCTTTTACGGCAGCCAGCTGTTAGCTCTCCGGAACGATGTCCATCCGTTACTGGTGACTCAGCGGGCGTGCCACCGTTTGTTTTTTCTTTTCTTGCTTTTGCATTGCGGCAAAATAGCTGAGGTGTTTTCCACCTCCAGCTAACGTGCAATGATCACCGCCGTAAACAGTATGTCGGGTGACTTCCAAAATTGGTCACTCAGATGTATTCAAAATTCATGCTACCCCAGCTCCTCTGACCTCCAAAGTCAGGGTTTTCACAGTCGATGTTTGTGACTGGACAAATCACCATGCGCTCGGTTTTTAAGGCGTTTAACCAATGTGTCTTCTCGTGCATGGATGGGAGGCGTAATCTCAAGACGTATTACCATGTGCATTGGACTATATCACCGCTAATTCAACCATTGAGGCCGTATCTGTAGTAGACATCTGTTGGGTGTCACTATTTCGCGGCACCTGTGCTCCAACATAGACTACATCCTTGGGTAGACTTATCGGGTGAACATAACCGGACTGAAACACGAAGCCAGCATTTAAGCGCGCAGTATTCGAATCGATGCTCACCCAACACTTTAACTGTCGTACATGGTTCTCCATCTCTCCCTCTCTGTTATCTCCAGTTCTTTTGTTTTACCCACTTTTAGGTGTTACAACCGGAGGAGAAGAAGACTGTCGCATATCATGAGGCTGGTCATGCGGTGGTCGGTTGGTTTTTGGAGCATTGCAACCCATTGCTCAAAGTGTCCATCATTCCCCGTGGTCAAGCTTTAGGCTACGCACAATATCAACCCAGAGATATCTACCTTCACACGAAAGATCAGATGCTAGACGAAATGTGCCTGGCACTTGGTGGCCGTGCCAGTGAAGAGGTGTTTTTCGGCAAAGTTGGCAGCGGAGCTGTGGACGACCTACAACGCGTCACTAAATCTGCCTACACTCAAGTCGCCCAGCTTGGTTTCAGTGAAAAAGTTGGCTTACTTAGCTTCGAATTGCCTCAACAGGGCGACATGGTTTTGACAAAACCATATTCGGAAAGCACTGCTCAACTGATTGACGACGAAGTTCGTCTCATTGTACATAATGCTTATCAACGCACCATCGCTCTGGTTCGCGAGAAACGAGATCTGATAGAAAAGGTACGTCTTGTTTCACGTACTTCTCCGCTTTCTTCATGACAGATAATTACAACGGAAGTAGATCTTCCGCGAGCATCGTCACGTTCCATACACACACATATATATATATATATATTTCATTCTTGATGCTTCTTCACCGCAGTTGGAATAAACCAACTTACACTTAAACTAGGTCTTTTTAAGCTGGATAAATTTCATTCTACCTTATTTGCTTTGTTCTACTTACCTGAATAATCTTCTATTAACTGGCCACGTCGCTTACGCTGATTGCGCTTATCTTTGGTAACTTTGTTGCGTTTGTAGCATTTTTTAAGTAACTCGTGGACATTTCTTACTTATCGCGGATTCGTTGCTAACCAACTTACTTCATATGCTAATTTAGCGAAGTGTTATGCCACCGTATCTGTATGCATTATTGGATTTATTTTATTTCATCTTGTCGTTTCAAGTGATTGGCCGTTGCTTGATATCCCCGGTGTGGCTGCGCTTGATGTGCATGTTGACAAGGTGCCTACCTGTCTATTACCCACTACCTCGTTCATACTGGCTCCAGGAGACAGTTGGTCGTTGCTGGAGGGGACAGGGTGCACGGTCCTTGTGGCCGTGCTAGGCTCGAAGAGTGGTTCCATGCACTCAGTGTGGAGCGGACTACGGTCCAGCCACCGCCTTGTGTGCGCTTGATTCCCAAATACAGCGTGCTTGTGTTTGCCTGTGAAGGAGTGTGGGCCGGCTCCGTTGATGAAACGTGGCTCCCATCCAACTGCCTCCCGGTCTTATTCCTTCGGGTTTACACTGGATATGGGTATGTGGTTGGAGCTGTGGGTGGTGCAGCGCAAGCTACCCATGGTCCCTCTGTAGGCGCAGGCGTCCTGTGGCTGGCCACAGTGACAGGCAAATCCGAAACCGGATGCCGCCAACCATATATATATATATATATATATATATATATATATATATATATATATATATATATATATATATATATATATATATATATATATAGTGACCTAAAACAGCAGCGTCTATGTCTGGTTAGCGCTAGTCGGCACGTTTTCATGGACTACAACCTTGGACCAGTGATTCAGGAAACCCGGGTTTGATTCAACTTAGCACCATTTCGTGACACCTGGTTGGATATAACTGGTTTGTTTATGTTTTTCCCTCCTTGACCTTGCGCACCTGAATCAACCGCACTGGTGTTGTAAGTAATAATTTTAATGTCGCGGTATATAGATGGAATAACGAAATCGAGAGAAGCACGATAGCCGGGAGAGGAGGATTGTCATGCCATCAACTACAACTCTTCATTCATGTCCGAGGTCATACCCAGCTGGAGACGCTAGTGCTCTTCCGGTCCCCAAGTCTTGGAGCCCGTGTCGCAGTTGAGGCCTCAGATTTCTAGTCTATGATCCGTGCTGTCGTTTCTAACTGACGGGTAGGAAAGCAGCTAAACAACCACCTGTCAGGTAACTGAGCATTCCGTCAAAGCTACCGAAGGCTTTGTGATAAACTTGTGACGAATATTATCACAACATAAATTATGATGTCATCTTACCTCCAAATGCACAAGTGATTGAAACTACATTATCTTTACTTAATTTGCCGCGGGTTTGACTTGTCCGGCTACCATAGAGCTCAACCCATTTTACCACATCATCGTAGACTTGACTCCTCAGAGAGATACAGAGGTTATGACACCAACATATTGGAAGTCTTCCATGAGATCTCAACCATTATTCCACCGAGATTAAAACAGTCATTAAAGCAAGTGAGCTCGTTGAACATTCTCAACCGGTCTCCCGAAAGAGTGAGAGTACGAGCAACTTCTTGGTTGTTCCGATGGAAGACCTTAGAGCTCCGAGGGAGCGAATGTGAGGCGGATGCCTTTGGTCCATTCGACATTTTAAAGCGGTTCGCCAGGAGTCATGAATTAGGTGAATGGTGTCCCCGAGGTTCAATTCACGAATAATGTCAACCGGCGGCACCTAGATAACACTCGACTCAATGTTAGTCGGAGCCATTTATGGCGAACTTGAATGAGGCGGATGAGCTTGAGTCGCACTCTTTCGCACTGCTGGTACTTTGACCTAAAATAGACTACATTCATTTATAAGCTTGCCATCACGACCGCGTAACAAGTGGATTTGATTCAGGTCGTGCATGACTGGCGTCGACTAGCCTCCTTCGATCCTCGAATAAGCCGAGTTGCTTCGAAGTCCCCCGGGATACGATTTTCGCCATGGAATAACTTTACTTCTTTTGCTTTCGTAGTTGTCATTCACATTTCTCGTCGCTTGTGTTTACCTCAGATCAAGTTCGTTCACATTGAGTCATTGGACTAAATTGATTACCGGAGCTTCTCACCATCCCTCAAAACCCCAGACTCTCACTTTTTTGGATCGACGTGGTCTTTTTACTATCAAACTGAATAAGGCGTATGGTATTTGCACCCCGGTTCTCCCATTTAGTTCACGGTACCGCAGTTTATTCGGACGAATGTTTATGAACGATACCCGCCTTTTCATTTAGGTCGACATGTGGCTCTTCTGTCTACTTGACTAGGCCGGTATCAGATAAGTTCTTAGGACCACTGTCCCGAATCGTTGACCTCTGATTGCCTTTTGTTTCGGAGCCCTACTCTTTGCATGCGCCGATATCCCGGTTGACGAGCCTACTACTGTGGCCAAAAGAGCACACAGAAAGCCACTCGACGCATTGGGCTGTTGTGCGCTGAGGTTATGACCGATCGGCTCCATCATCAGGCTAGGACCTCAAATTGAATACACTACATAGGCCTTTCAGTGTGTGCTGAAGCGTGACCCACTCTCTCTGAGTTTCTTTAGCGAAAGCGGGAAGTTTGCATCAACTCCCATGCTAGCAAAGGCTAAAACCACTACGCCTATTCATCAGAGCGCACCAGAGATTGGGCAATGACCCTATACTACCATACGAGACACTGCTAAACCGCGTCTACAGCCCAAGTTTGACGGACCGCTATCAATTCATATTAACACTTAAGCGACTGGCATCTGAGCATCGAAGATCAGGGGATCCGGTTGTCATGAACATCACTTCGTCTTGATGATGTTGCGGTACTAGCGATGTTGGATAAACTTAATCGGGTTGACTTGTGTTAGTGGGTATACTCAAGACCGTCGGCCGGAACTTCCCTGACTTCGTGACTTTACGTTACCCGATAAAGTCTGCAGCCACGGATGTTCCTGATCCCAAGGTCAGCCGGTTTCTATATCTCATCTCCCCACACCATCCAGTGGTCACCCTGCAGTTCCATCCAACTAGGTGCAATGACCTGCCGCCATGCGTGCTTCGAATACTGCAGTTATTCTAGTGCAGCAACGGATAATTTCTTTCCACGCTCTGATTAACAAATTTAGCATTGCTCCGGTAATCAGGAGTGACTAGTTTCTCAGTGTCTTCTGTGCCCGTCGGTCGTATTTTTGATAAAAATGAAACATTGCGTCACATTTATACATTTGGGCAATGCAGACAGAAGAGAAACGTTGCGATATGTTAACACTTTGCTTGGTCTCATCTGTCACAAACGCAATGCATATGGGTAACAAATTAACGTATGTACATGTGGAACGAAATTATACGGGTAAATCAAAGTTGAGCAATCAGAACCAAAGCAATCTGATGAACTGTCTTAGTTGCTTTTGCGCGCACAATACCGGCCGGTTTACCGCAATCAGTAATGCTTCACTGATTGCCAGCATTTTCGATGGAACCATGTGATGGCCTGTCCTCACGAGGCGCTTTGTAATAGACGAGGCGGGTTTCTGCGTCTCTCCAGTTGATCATTCATTCCATGTTGTACCATGGGTTGCTTCAACTACTTTGGGAAATGCTCAGCCACCCTTTGGGCCAGTCGCCGGTCGGTCCTGCTTATATAGATGTCACCGCGAATGCTGGTGCACTGGCCAATCCCACTGACAAATTGTCCGGACGGTAGTTGAGGTCTTTGAACATCTGAAGGACAGATACTTCGGTTCATTGGGAAGTGACGAGTGAGTGAGCCAATCTGCAACACCAGGACAGATACTGTGAGCTTACTGGCAATACGTCGCGAGCCAAGCAGAAGTCATGTATTAAATTGCGCACTTGATCGTCAGCCCTCGGTAGCTCAGTTGGTGGAGCAGCGGATCGGTAATCCGTATGTCCGGGGTTCGGTTCCCCATCGAGGCAGATTATTGTGCAAAGTCTAATCGTGGCTTCTACTTTCTACAAAAATTACATACTCACAAAACCACCAATACTCTAAGTTGAGCTCTAGCCACCGTATGGTGTGACGGATCTGTAAACACTTAGTGGTACAAGTGCGCGTTCCAGCAGAGTACATTTGAATCCTTGTCCCCTTTGAACGGCAGAAATAAACAAACAGCCTTTTTCTCCACCGTTTGTACTAGTAGCTTCTCTTTGATGGTTCTACTGTGTAACTGAATAAATTTCTCCCGATACCTGGTTGAAAAGAGGGTCCTGTGTAGGAACTCTTCTTCACTCTGCAGCATGTCTGGACTGCAAATCCGCCTGACTCTGTAGTAAAGGGTTCTGAGAGAAGCGCGTTTGTATGCAACCCGCACGACGCTGATGAAATACATGTATTGCCCACTACAAGTTGCTTTACGATAGACAGTGCGTGAGTCATATTTTCGTATGCTTTTCACCTCACGCTTTCCAAAGTACTACAAATTGAGCACCTTCCAAAATAACAATCGGTATCCAGCTATCTCGCATATTTTTGTCAGTTGTTAGATGCAAAGACAATGAGCATGCATTGTCGTTACTGGGTGGCAAGGCTGTCCAGTGCTATTCAATTTGCCTGCATTCCGGTTGACGGAACACTGTCACTAATCTCAACAGGGTAGAGTGAGTCTGTCGACCACCGAAGTTTCGGCAAGCTGAAGTAGACCGAGGTTTCTTTGTCCGATAATTTTCTAGAGTAATCGGCGCATCAGTTTTAGCACGCGGTACGATCGAGTATGTGCCAAACGATTTAGCTGGCAAGTAGCTTGAGTACAATGTGCTCTGCAGTCCCTATAGAGCCATCTTACTCTCAGTTCGCGGCCAACGTATTTGCAACCGCGATTACCGGTGAATCTGATGGATTTGCACAGCAATCTTCTGCTTTAGCACACAAACCCTAACCCAGTCACGTGATAACATTTCTGACCAATGTAGCAACACCGGTCTTGCTGCGGTATTGTACACTCTACTTTTGACTGACAAGCTAACACCTTTCGTCATCTTCACAGATGGTCAAGTCGGTAAATTCACGCGGAAGTTTGCTGGAACGGGTAGTAGCGTATTCTGCGAATCGATCACTGATGCCACTCCCGGGCCTAGCGAACCGCCAGACCGCTCCAATTGGCTGCTAATGGAATATAATACCAGACTGGGAACTGGACGCGAAACGCTGTACTATGAAATACCAACCTTAACAAGAGTTTCAGTCACATAGCTCGATCACATGCATCTCGCTGCAGTTGTTCATTTGGTGATAATCCAACTGAGTAGATCAGCTGGCTGTGAGACAGTTGGATCAATTATTTATCGTCACAGTACGCCAGCGTTTTACGCGGTCATAAATCGATAGGAACAACGACAATAACGCGCGGAACACACGAACCCTAGCGCAGAACCTGAATGCATTCAGGACCAAATTACTGGCTGCAGATTTCGCAACCTCACATCATAACTAATGCGAGTTTTTCTACGCTGTCATCTCCATACTCTTGTTTTAATTCTTCCATGTGGTCAAACAAATGAGTTCACATGTCAGATGTTGTGTGTACATATTGCGGAGGCTAATGAGGTAGCATAGAATTGACAGTGCTAATCGAAACTGTCGACCAACTGCTACTGCTTGCTTTGTTTTGATTACAGTTTTGCAGTTACCAGAACAAACCGCTTTGTGTTAAGTGCTACACTTTATAGTCGTCAAAACATATGTTTATGAATGTAGACTGGAAACGGCACCGGTTCCATTTAGTTCGGGTCCACCAACCTCCGCTCTGCTTCCATGCATTTCCTGCGAGCACATTCTTCGTGAGTAAGTACGGCCTAATGTCGAATGTGAAATAGCTTTATTTGAAGCAAATCGGCTGTCAACACACACACACACACACGGCTTGTGTACTTTAGGCCTCTTGAATTGATGCTAGTGCTGTGAGATGGGGATTTTTTTTCGATGCAATGTTGTCCAAATTCCCTTACTTCACTTTCATCTCTTGCTGCTCCTCTTTTCCAGCTTGCGCTGCGTTTGTTGTCTAAAGAACAATTACAAAAGGAAGACCTGGTAGAAGTTCTCGGTCCGAGACCTTTCGAAGAGAAGAGCACCTACGAAGATATCGTGGGTCAGGGTGAGTCTTTGTAGCGTTTAATGTCACACATACACGGTTGCTTGTCATTTCGGTGTGAAATTGTGGGAGCTTACACAATTCCATCCATTGGGCACTCCTGATAAATGCATTGATATTGTCGTGTGTATAAGCAGGTGCTCTTGATTGACGATTATTGCGGATGATGGTAGCTCGGGGTAGTGGTGAGGATCTTGAATTATCTTCAAAACTAGGGGATTTGGTTGCGGAAGTTTCGTTACCAGGCTGGAGGACATCCGCTCCAAAACCAAGGGACCCCATTCGGAACAGATTCACGCTAAGCAAGGAAGAAACAAGGGATGTGATTTATAAAATTTTCCATAAAATCTTTAGCAAGTGTAACCTGGTTTAAATAGGAAGGACATTTTCCACGAGGCTACACGAACACATCCCGGCCATTCACCCGTGTGTCCCCAAGAGTCACTAATGTGTGTGTGTGCGCGCATCTGGACCTTGAACGCCATGACTCCAATCTGGAGAGCATCAAGATGATAAGAGCAAGAACACTTGAATTCATGTAGGTTTGGTATTCGAGGCAGGATTCATACGTCAGCCACTTGAATCTGCAAGTGACTTACCGTGCGCTGTGAACCTGACTAATAGTCTGCATCAGATCAACGGAATGAATAGAGCGATCAATCGGTCATCTTGCCATTCACCCGTCCAACGTATTGGTTCCACGAGGAACGCAGAGACGGAGTCGTGAATTATAACATGGATTAAGGAGAAAGGGAGACCATTTCCCTGGAAGTCACACTAATAATGTAGATTATGTTTCGTTTTTCTTTTGCTCTTCAGTATAAAAATCATTACTTCCTTGGTCGCCAGTCTTTCAACGAATTTGGGACCAGCCTCGTTAATTCCACAGCTTATATCGTTGATCCTCAAGTCAAAACTTTGCGTACCGGTGTTATTTGTTCGTACTCTGAACTTGTCTAACATTCTTTTCAGGTCCATTGGATGAAGACACCATTTTGCCTCCTGGATTACGAGATTGGAACAAAGAACCTGAACCGGAGGTGAAAGGCGAAACTCCTGCTGGCTAGTTGAACATTTGGAGTCCGCTTAAAATCCAATCGTTGTGTATCATTCATTGTATGCAGCTCTCTATCATTGGGAAATTAAATTGTGTAGGCAAAGTTATGACTTTTGCAATGTCGAACCATCGCTACAGGTCTACGCCACGCCATGTATTGAACACAAAACCTAGTCCGTCTCCATTACTTGCATGGTAGCCTTTCACGAATTTGTTGTTTAGATTGGTTGGCTTATCTATCCGAGGTAGCAATCAAATTCTACTAGATTTCAATCACAGCTCCCCACCTGCACAACTTTCCTTATTGGTTGTGACAGTGTATCGCCGACAGACTGGCCTGCGTGCCATTGGTTATTGTGTTTTATTTAATCACTGGGACACTTTTGATATCATCGTTGTTTCCGAATGCGTACCAACGTGAAAGCAATGCTTGCTTGACTATCTGCCAACCAGGTTACTGTTATGATCACTGAGGTCACACCGGGTTGCTCTGATTGGCTGTTCGAGAAAACCTGTCCGCCCCGATTGACCGATCAAAAAGCCAGTCGTAGCTACGGTGTAATGGCCACCAGACACAACGCAGAGTACCGATATTTTTTGTCCTTAGTGACCTTCATGTACCTTCTCTGCTATCTTCCACTCTTTCCCTACCAATAATAGTATTAGATTGTGCGAGAACATTCATTTCATCAACCAGTGTGAGTATTCTCCTTGATTTCTGAAAAATGGCTGGAGTTTGATTCGTTTAGGGTTCACTGATTCATTCGTTAGGAGATGTTCCTACTAACACTTGCTCTTTGCCCAAAAAATTGTCAGACCATAAATTACTGACCTTCGTAGTAAATCCTCGGAAGCTGAGTATCCGATGTGCATGAGTGGCGCACATCAATTGCCAGGATGTTAAACTGGGTATCTGCTATATGCGTCATCTCCTACCAGTCATATGATGTCCCCTTAACTCTTGATAGCAGGGAACTCGAGGTCGTTAGTCAATTCACTTTTCTTGGCAGCAACGATGGGTGCATAGGAACTGAAGCCATTCCACGCATTGCAAGTTAGAACAGCTCTTCTGAATCTGTGGAGTGAGAAAGGAGTTTCCGTCCGTCTAAAACGCCGTGTATACAAGACCACAATGGGGGCCGTTTTACCCTGTGGGAATAAGACTTGGTCCCTTCGATCTGAGGACCTTCAGCGTCTTCAAGTCCTTGAGCATCGTTGTCTGCGAAGCAATGTTGGTATCGGGTGGCACTAGTATATCCTTAGGCAAGTGCTAGGTAGTGATAATGCTATTTCCTTAGAACAACAGATAGCACGAAATAAACTGCTTTGGCTTGGGCACGTACTGCATATGCCTAGTCACCGCTTACCGAGGAAGATCTTGTCTCTGATGTAGGGTGGCGCAAGGTTCGAGGTGGGCAAAACTTAACTTGGCAGGGGAAAATGAAGTCACGGATGACAAAACTTAGTGCTGTTGGTCCGCCTCGCCTTTCAGGTTGGAGTCCACTTGACCAATCCGTTGCAGGACATGGATGACAATCGGCACCAATAGCACGTCTGATGTCGTCTCCTAGTCAGACTACCTGTTTAAGTTGTGTTAGGTGCTGATTTATCTGTGGGGTAATGTCTGATTATGACGCGGGGCAGTGAAAGCCACAAGAAAATGGTGTCGTTGATGCCACCTTTGCACGACAGCTTACGACGGTACGTTGTTGGCAAGGTGTAGGCGCCTTGATCTTTAATGTTTGTTTAGGGCACTAAAGTGTTACCCCAGGTCCCTCTTCTGTGCTTATTATTCTTCCTCAGGTCACCCTGATTGTTCTGTGACAGGATCAGCTCAAATGACTGATGTAATGCTGTTCATGGTGTTGATAATCTTCCTAAACCAGTCGCTTACTTTAGCGTTTCCCATGTTTTAGTTCGCACTTGGGAGAACGAATTTTGACTGGCCACTGCAATAACGACTTCCTTTCTATGGTTTGACTCATCAAGTGTCGTTTTGGTGTGTTGTGCCTATCCGGACCGGTTCACAATGCTCATAGAACTCAGCAACCGTCTGTGGAACGAATCACAGCACCCAGATCGCAGTTCCGAGATTTACTCATTGTGATTCGTTCACGCGCCGCTGGCGAGATGGACTACAAAAGACTCATTGTTGGGCATTTGGGTGTACGAAAGAATTGCGATTCTCTCGTGTGAGCCACCGCACGATTCTGGAACTTTTCAGAAATGCACTTAAAGATAAGGTGCTGCACTGAACAGGCATCGACAACAAGGCAACGCATTTGTGGAGTACCATACTTAACAAGAAGTTGGGAGCCTTATCTAACGCCTAATTGTTTTAAGTGGCTATCCGTTAACTAAGTGCTTACGCCTTGCTGGCGCCGCACGGCCAAATGCATCTTAGCAGGTCATGTCACGGACATCTGTCCGACCGGTAGGAGTGGCACTTACTTCATTCATGGAGGCGTCGATGATGCTTCGGTGATAGTGAGGCGGACCAATTGCGATTGGCTCACTCGTTGGGCTCGTCACTGAGTGAAACGACGGTCCACTACACGCCGTCTACGCATGGCACCAACCGTCGCAACGAAACTGGACCTTAACGTGGTGCGACGGTTTGTGTACCTCATTGACCCATTGAGCTATACTGGGTGGTGCCTCCGGGCACCTTGAGAGCTACTCCTACCAGATTGGTCAGTGGTGAGAGGTCAGACAAACTCAGTCTCCTGGTCTTCCAGGTTGGGGGTTTGAAATGCGATGCTGTCCATTTCTGTAAAACTAAATCACTGCCACATCCCCGCTGCCCTGCGGACAGGCTTTCGAGCCAAAGGCTTTGGATGAGGACCCTAATCGTCCTCCTGTCTAGGTCTGGACGCCCTGACAGTATCTCAGCCCACATACAACCATGACATTTTCTTCAAACATAAACTTCATCCTGCATCGGCCGTCGCGCAGATGATCAAGGGTCGCGTTATCTGCTGCATACAGCAGGGCGGATAAGCGAAAACATGCTACTGCTGGCGTCTCCTTTCTTTTCCACATTTTTCTCTTACTCCCATCCCGACCCCCATTACTAACCTTCCTTCTATAACTCCCAGCTTAATTGACAGCAACAGAAGCGCTACTGGAGTAGAACCATCTGCAGCCACCATCCGACCGCACTTAGCGGCAGAAGTCCCTTATAAGGCCACGCTATCCCGTTTCCATGGCGACATTCAACGTTCGCACTCTAAGACAAACAGGTCAACAGGCTGCACTCGCACACACCTTGGACACATTGGGTATTGATGTGTGTTGTGTGTCCGAAACTAGGATCAATGACCCTAACGGGTTTATTGAATTAAATGACCCCGGCTTATACTCTCCTTATTGGTTGCACGCATCCGGAGACGCCGATGCAGGACTCACGGGTCAAGCTGGTGTAGGTATCATTCTAAGCTCCAAAGCTGTGCCATCGTTGGTTGATTGGATTCCGGTGAACAGCCGTTTATGTGCAGCCCGTTTGATGACATCAGCTAAGGTGAATTCACGAAGTAAAACAAAACGCTGTTTGTTTGTGATTTCCGTTTATGCTCCCACCGACTGCAGTTCTAATGCAGTCAAGGACACTTTCTATCACGAACTGAACACGCTGCTACGCAGTGCTACTAGTTCAGATATTATAGTACTTGCAGGGATATGAACGCACAAGTAGGGCGTCTGAGCTCTCCAGAAGCTCAGCTGGGTGGTAATTATGGGCTTAACTCCGAACGGACTGACAACGGTGAGCGTCTGCTGCAACTGTGTGCGGAGCACCAGTTGTTTCTTAGTAGCACTGCTTTTAGACACAGTGGGCGCCGAAGTGCCACTTGGCGTCCTCCTATAGCTGCTAGCGATGGACCCAAATTGACCACATAGCCATAAGTTACAAATGGCGTGGTTCCATCCTGGATTGCCGCTCGTACTGGAGTACCTGCGTCGACTCTGATCATGCCTTGGTGCGCTGTCGTTTCTCCATGAACTTTACCGGGAGGCGCACCAAGCGTCCCCTACGATTGGCAACTGAGAAATTGTCTCAGTCCTCGGTCAGGCAAGCCTATTAAGAAGCGCTGCATACCGAACTTTCGCTGTCTTGTCCTAATGACACTGAGCTTCAGTGGAATAGGATCTCGGCCGCCATGCACGACGCAGGAGCATCTGCTTGTGGCACTATCCATCGTCACTGCACCAGTCACTGGATATCCGAGAGTTCGGTGAACCTGTTGGAATCTAGAAGACACCTCCCGGTCGGGCTCTGAACACAATGCAACCAGACTAAAGCGTAGTCTACGTGCTAACAAAGAAGCCTGGTGGACCAGTAGGGCTCAAGAAATGGAGGAGGCAGGAGCAGTAGGCAATTACCGCAAGCTCTTCGAGCTAATCCGCACCACTGGTCCCAGAAAACCAGGCGTCCGTGACACAATCAAAGACAGCGCGGGTGCGCTGGTACACAGTAAGCAGCGCCGTATGGCTTGTTGGGCGGAACACTTTCAAGATCAGTTTAGCTGGCCCCCTGCTCCCGGACCTCTTCCTACTCAGGTGATGCAGGACGAGCCATGGACGGTTAGTTTAGAGCCTCCGTCAGAGGCCGAGGTCCAAAACGCGATTACAGCCCTTAATCGTTTTCGTGACACTGGCCCGGATTCCCTCTCACCTCCACTATTTAAGGCTGGAGGTGAGGTCCTCTGCAAAACACTGACCTCCTTATTCGAATGTACCTGGAAGGAAGAGAGTGTCCCGGCTAATTGAAGCGAATCGATTATAGTGGCAATATACAAGAAGGGCAGTCGCACAGACTGTGCGAACCACAGGGGTATTAGCCTAACGCCAGTTGTGACAAAATTACTGGCCTCGATTATCGTTCGTCGCCTCACTGCAGAACAGGAATCTCGGATTAAGGAAGAGCAGGCCGGTTTTCGCCCAGGACGTGGCTGTATAGACCATATATTCACTTTGCGGCAGGTGCTAGAGCAGCGCCACGCATACCGCAGACCGACAATAGCTGTATTCCTTGATTTTAAGAGTGCGTGACAGTCGATTGATCGATTCTGTTCGAAATACTTTAGTGGAATGGTGTTCCCA